GTGGCCTGTGGCATGGTCCAAGCAGCTGAGCCGGGTGATACAGGGGAAGTTATTTTTGCCTGTGAACAGCAGAAACACGGCTGCTGCTTCTGCAAAATGGGCACGGTAATTCATGGCTGGACACAGTACGTCTCAGAACATACTCTTTTCTCCTGCAGGACATCCCATGGGATATGAGCCCAGAACCCCACTCAAGCCTCTCTTGGATTCTTGAGAGAGACTGGCTGGGCAGGTCAGCAGATGTGGTCGGTGTCTGTCCCCTGCCACGTGGCGGACTGTGTGATCTGGGAAGTGATTTAGCCTCTCTGGGCCTCAGAGTTCTGCCCAGTGCTGTTCTCAAGATGGAATGGGGAACGGCTAGCACAGGCCAGGATGGAAGAATCTCTGAACCTCTCAGTAAAGAGCAACTCCCTTTACCTCCCCACCCTCCCAGCAACCAGGGCTGTGTTTTTTTGGGGGTGGGGGAGGTCAGCAAGAAAGTTGGGGCAAGGCTAGAAGGGAAGCCAGAGCCCCAGGATTTGGGGGATGGGAGTAAGCTGGGCCCGGGCTGGGAAGTAGGCAAGGCCCCCAGAGGAGGTCAGGTGGGTGGCTGAGCGCTCTGAGATCCTCATCTAGCTCGGGCCAATCAACAACACTCAGCTTCTGGCCAGATGTATTTCCCTGGTCCCGGGTTCAAAAGCACCTGGGAACAGACTGGCAAATAGTAGAGAGGGGCATGAGGGAGGGAGACCAGTGGCCAGTGCCATTGCAGCCGCCAGAGGAAGCTGGCTCTGGTGAAAACCCAGCCCTGAGACTCTGGTGCTTGTCAGGGCTGGAGGACAGCCGCTGGAGCCGCCTCCCGGGCTGGCCCAGCTGCCCCCGTTCCAGCCCCAGGCACGCTACAGACACGGCTGGCTCAGAGCAGATGATCTGCAAGAGACTGTGGATGAAGATGCTAGGAATCGGGACCCCTGGCAGAGACCCATCAGCAAGGCTAGTGAATGGCCCCCGCAGACACCTGCCACGTGACTGCCCTGCCCACCGCACCAACAGAGCAGGCAGGCAGCTGCGTTCAGCCCACCGTGAGTCCAGGCCCCATCACTGATTGGCTCTTTTGAGCCTCAGTTTCATCATCTGTAAAATAGCTATAAATGATCCTGTCTTAACCCCTAGGGCTACGGTACAAATCTCCCGAGATCACTGTCAAAGAGTGTGATGGGGAAGAAGAGAATTAACCAGGCACTTGCCTTTGTCATCTCTTTTAACCCTAATCACAACAACCCTAAAAGGCAAGTACTATCACTGAGTGTGCTACGGTTCAGAAAGGGCAGGTCACAGAGCTGGCAAGCGGCAGACCGGGCTGGGACCCAGGTCTGCGGGTCCCAGAGCTTCACAGCCTTCCAGGCGGTGCTCACAGCTTTGGTAAAACTCTCCCCAGAAGAGCGGGAGGGGTTCTCATTGCTGCTGTTACTTCATAAACCCCTAGTAGTAAGTGGCATTGTTATGAGAAGTTTTCCTTTTCTCACTCTGCCTCTCTTTTTCTTGCTGTGGAGGAAAGCAAGCTAAACAGTCTGCTAATTTCTGCGGTCTCAGACAATCAGAATTCTGGCCGTCTGGAAGAACCAACCTAAGAAAGCATGAAATTAATCTTTTTGAAGTTAACGTCTTCGAGGCGTCGCGTCGGTATTTGGGTTGGACGCGTAGCCTTGTTATCGCAACGCGGACGAAGCCCCACATTTAATAAGGCTAAGACAACTCAGGCAACGTAAGAAACATAACAGGATATTGCAAAGAGATTAGGGAGCTTCCTTTGGACAGCGTGGATGGGCCGTGCGGAGGGCAGGGTGGGGGGCGGATGGTGCGGTTTCCCCTGGGGGGCCAGAGAGTCCCCGTCCGTCCCAGGCCTGGCCCGAGGACCACACTGCCCGGGCAGAGGGGAGCTGGGCTCCTCTCGGCACGGCGAGGCCTGCCTGGTGCCGGAGCAGAGGCTCCACAGGCTAAATTCAAACCAGCTGCAAGGATGGAGTATTACGGTTGGATGGGGTGGGGAGAGGCTTACCTCATGAAAGAACTGTGGAAACGGCTGCTGGAAAGATAATAAAAGGATTAACTGCTATTTTAGTGGGCCATTTACTCTTCAATCAAAATGTCTCATCTATTTCCTGTTCTCCAGAGGCTCTGGGTCCAAAATTCCTTTGTCTATTACAGTGCATGGTAGCAGAGGCCTGTCATGAGAAATTAATAATTTTACAGGGAAGGGAGATTTTATTTATCTGGGTGTGGGTTGGGGCCTGCCCCTTCCCCTGGGTTACCCACCCCACGGCAGGCAGGAGGAGCGCAGGGGAGGTGCTGAGAAGAGAGCGCTGCTGCTCCAGATGGTGGCACCCAGCAGGGCTGCCCTAAGACCCCGGAGAATCAGTTTAGCAGAAGGTCTACACAAACAAGGGCATTACAGTTTAGAGAGAGGTAGGTTCAAATTCCAGCCCAATGGTTGCTAGCTGTGTAACCTCGGGAAAGTAGTTTTTCTTACTGTCACTACTGTGATTCTCAGCCTCTGTTATTATTGTTGCTACTGTTATTGTCTGTCTCCAACTGCTGTGTGACCTAGGGCAAAAGATGCAATCTTTCTGAGCCTCAGTTTCCTCCTCTGTAAAATGGGGGTTAACAGTATCGACCCCGCAGGGTTGTGTGAGGGCCGCATGGAGATATCGCTTAGAGGAGCACCCACACAGTCAGCACTTGGAGCTGCTTGCTGGTACGATCATCACCATAATCCTAGCCCCACAAGAGGCAAGACCAAGTGTTCTCACAGGAACAAGAGGAAGGCCAGCCGGACTCTGCTGAACCTTTGTTTCTCCATCTGTCAAAACCCTTGGTTTTACAGGACTCATAAAGATTAAATGCAATCATAGGTTAGTGTGGACACGGCTCAGATGTCACCTCCTCCGTGAAGCCCTTCTGGGCCTCCCCTCCTGGGCCTGTGCACACTCCATCCCTGGACCTGTCACTGATTTCCCAGCCCTCCCTGAGTGTGAGTGTCCCCAGGGCAAGGACCATGGCAGGTCCAGGTCTGGGTCCCCTGGGCCAGGCATGAGCCAGGTGTAAGCCAGTGTCTTGGGGAGTAAGATGAGGTCCTGGCAGCCTGGCCCAGGAGAGAGGTCCTGAGACTGCACCGAGCAACCTGGGCCCTGACCCCTCACTGGGCCTCCACTGTGCAAGCCAGAAAACGGGCAGGGGAGGCCTAGATCCTCTCCAAGGCCCCTAATGTCCAACACGGACACTCCCAGGTGCCGATTCCACGCAGAGGCCCACTGTGAGAAGGCCACTGACCACACCGTGTCAAGGGTCATTCAGGCCATGCAGCCTCTCTAAGGCCCCCACAGACACCCATGAGCTCACACACAGGAGAAAAGGCGTGACTGTGGTTCAGTGCCTATTGGCTCCGGGGTCTCAGGGAGAGATGGGCCCATCCATCTTCCAGGAGGCCTGGCCTGGCCTGCAGGCTCTGCCTGTTGGTCATCTCCTTCCAGGAGGGACACGTACAAGACCCCAAACGAAGAGGGCATGCCCAGGGCTGGCCCAGCCACCAGCATTCCCTCAAGTATCCTCTCAGCCAAAGGCACAGGATAAAGTCAAATTCTTAGTCTGCTCAGTGAGCCTCTCCTCACCACCCCTGCACACACCAGGACACCAGCCACAGGTTCTGTCCTCCTGCCTCCCCTCGGCACAGGCCATTCACTGCTGCTCACTTGTGCACAAAGCGAACTTCTCCTCCTTCAAGACCCAGCCTCCTGGAAGCTGCAGGAGCTGATCCCCTCAGATGCGCAGCTCACAGCCACACAGGCAGGTGGGGCCCCGAGGGCTAGCACCTTGCCCCAGGAGGGCAGAGTTTACGCTACTGGCTGCCAAGGTTCCTGCCTCCTTCCTAGCCCTTACATATGTCACCCTGGGCTCTGAGCGAGGACACTGGGCCTTCCCAGACTGAACGCTCCACGAGGAGGGGCCCAGCAACAGGGTCAGTGTGTGAGTGTAAAAGAACTTGATCTTGGCTACAACACCAGCCCTGCAGACCAGATGTGCTGCTACCCTGATGGCTGGGCAGACAGCGCAGTGGCCCTGGAGACGCATGGTTTTCATCAAGAAAACAGACCAAGGCCCACCCTGCCACTCCCAGGCAGGCCACTCTCCTGGCAGGCCAGCTGGGCCTCGGGGGCAGGCACAGAGATTAGGCTGAGGATACCAGGGAGTAAGACCATGCTCCCAGCTTCTGATAGAGTTCTACTGTAGCAAGAGCAGAACACAGAAATGAGCAGTCAGAGGGGCCGGAGGCCTGGGTGCCTACAGCGAATGCATGTGTGTGTGCATGCATGCTCATGCCTCTCTCTCTCCCTCCCCAGAAACCTCCATCTCAAGCCCAACTAGAACACTGCTGGTGCTGCCAGGGCCTTAGCTACCAACGCTTGGCCCTACCCCAAAGTGTGCCTGAGGGCCCACAGCTGTCAAGCCGGGTGCCTGACCCAGTGCTTCCTAGTGGAAGCCAAGGCCTTCGGCAGCTCCAGAAGGCCCAGGGAGCCTGCCTGAGAAGGCCCAGGGAGCCTGCCTGGGAAGGCCCAGTGCTGGAGGAGAGCACTGCTCCACGCCTCACTTGGCCACCGGCAGGTGGGACACGGAGCACGTGCATGTAAAGGGAAGGCTGGCCAAGCCTGCTCTGACGTAGGGTGCACGTGCGTGGCACGGGCCCTGTGTCATGCTAAGGCACAGCTAATGCCTCACGGTGGGGACAGGCCACCTGGCGAGTCTGAGGGGCCCCTCTGCCATGGTTCCCAGTGCTGGGGCACTGACGGAGTTGAGCAGTGGCCACATCCACAGCATTGGTCCTTCCCTCCTCAGCCAGGGGGATCTCAGCCAACCCCAGGTAAGGAGCCCCAGGTGAGGAGCCCCAGGGGGCCTCCCCAGGCAGCGAGGTGGTGCCGCTCTGCCTGCCAGACTGGGGTGAGGCCTGGTGGCCGGTGGGAACTCACCATGCACTTGTTGGGCTTCTCGCCCGAGTGCACCCTCATGTGGATGAGCAGCTTGTAGCGAGCATTGAAGGGCTTGTAGCGGCGCACGCAGCCAGCCCAGAAGCAGGTGAAGTCCTCGCCCTTGCGCTGGTCGATGTGGCTCTTCTCGATGTGCCGCACCAGCTCCTCCTGCTGCTCATAGGCTGCACAGCAGTCCACCCAGCGGCACGCCTGCCGCCCAGCCGCCGTCCCGCCCGCCAGGCCCAGCCCCAGGCCTCCGAGGCCCGGGCCAGGTGGCAACTGAGGCAGGGGGTAGGGGGGCGGCAGGCCCTGCTGGTGAGGCCCAAAGAGCTCGGAGAACTCATCCGCAGGCTCCTGCTTCAGGAAGGCCGCCTTCTGGCAGGCTTCAAGTTGCAAGCTGCCCTCATGGCCGCCAGTGGGTGCGGGGCCAGGGCAGGCCCGCTTGGGAGGGCCCCCCAGGTCTCCTGGCAGAGAGGGGCTCCGGAGTCCATTTACACAGGTGACCAGAGCTGTCTGGGAGGAGCGGATGATGGTGACGTCAGAGGAGGCACAGGGCGAGGAGGAGGCCGAGGAGGTGGGGGGCGGGCCCAGGAGGCAGCAGTGCTTCAGGCTGCCCTCGGGGAGGTGGGCCTCGGGCTGGGGGCCCAGGCCAGAGCAGGGCTCGCTGCCCAGAAGGTAGCAGGAAGGTGCAGGGTTGGCGAGGCCTCGGCCTGGGAGGTCCAGGTCTGTGTGCAGGCCGGTGGCTGGCGGGGCCCGGCAGTGGGCAGACAGGGGCGTGCGGGCCTCTGCCATGGCCTGGAAGTCGGGCAGGGACTCCTGCTTGATGTGTTGTGTGGTTGGGAGGCCACCGTTCACATATGCGGCCTGGGGTCTGGGTGACCTGGAAGACAGTGGCCAGAGAGGTCGTGAGAGGGTGGGCACTCCACGGGGGGAGGCCCAGGCAGCGGCTGGAGGGGAAGCTGAGGACCAAGGGACAAGGAAGCTCAGAGCAGGGAGGGAGGTGAGGCTGGAAGCAGAGAGAGGGAACAGAGACTGGTTATCTGGAAAGCTAGGAAGAGCGTGGAGGAAAAAGGGGAGAGAGAGAAAGAGGAGACTGAGGAGGCAGGAGATCTGGGTGACCGAGTGTGATGAAGAGGAAGGCCCCTCTTTCACCCCAGCCCAGCCCTGCAGCCTGGGACGCCATCCCGACAGGTGAGCTCTGGAGGAAGAAGGCTGAAGCTGGCGTTGTAGGAACATTCAGGTCTAGTATGTTTTAAATTCCACTTATGTGTCCCTTAAATCTTTCTTAATTCTTGTAATCTTTCTTAACTTCTAAAAACTTTAATTGTATGAAGTTTCGCCCCAAGCAGCCTGTCTTTCCCACTGTTAACGTCAGTGAGTGGGGGGTTTGAAGCGCAGTCATGGTGAGAGGGCATCTGAGGAATAACTGAGGAACAGCTTCTGGGGCAGGGGGTCCCAGGGTGTCAGGCACAGACGCTGTGATTGAGTCAAATGCAATTTGGGGAGAAGCCACGGGCAGGCCAGTCAGGGCAGCGCACGGAACACAGGGTCTGAGCCAGGCGCAGCCACATTCCAGCTGTGCGAACTTGGGCAAGGTCCTTGCCACTCTGGCCTGTCTCCTCGCAAGAGTGAGGACAGGGAGGCTGGGTGGGGCTGGGGTTTGCCACGTGGCTGTCTCTACCACGTGGGTGGTAAACAGGTGCCCAGAGCGGGCCTCTCCCAAATGTGGGGCATTCCCTCTGCCCACTCATGGGAGGCCAGGTTTAAGGAACACAGGGGATTCCTGCACTGAAGCACCCACCATTCTGGGTGGGGGGACCAGGCAAGGTGCAGAGTGAGACACCAGGGCCTACCTGCCACCAGGGCACTCTGAAAAGGGGAGAGGCCAGGAGGGGGACGTGGGGCTGAGAGTTTGAGAAGCCCCACTGGCTGGCTGGGCAGAAGAGGAGACCTGGTGTTGTGCCCACAGTCTGGCTCAGATGCTCACGTGACCTCACCCCATCTAAGCCTCAGTTTCCTCACCTGTGACATGAGGACTAAACCTCTCTGCCTCAGGGGACAGCTGCCAGGATGGTGAGAGGACCCTGTGACAGCCCTCTGGGAAGGGGATGGCAGGGCAGAGGGAGCTGTTATCACGCTGTTCTACTGCTGTTGTCCTGGGCTCTTTGCAGCTGGTGCTGTGGGTCATCATCTGTCCCTCTGCTTCCCATGGTGGCCTCCCAGCCCCAGCCTCTCCCTCCCTGGCTCCCTGCAGCTTCAGCACCCCCGGCTCCAGCCATGAGGGAAAGGGGAGGGAAAGGGACAGGGAAGAAACAAAGTCAGAGCCCAGAGGCCCTCAGACGGCATGGGCTCCAACCCCAGCACACACACAGCAAAGAAAGCCACAGGGAATCTCAATTCTCAAAGAAAAATGATTCCACACGGGAGAGTGAGCATCCTTCTATTTCGTAGTATCCCCACTGCAAAGCTCCCATGAGAACATAAGCTCCATCAGGGAGATCTTTGCTTCTTTCGCCAAGGTACCCCGGTGCCAACCACAGTGCCTGGCACACAGTAGGCACTCAACAAACAGCTGGTATGGGAAGGAGCTGCAAAGCGGCAGCTGGGCCAGGTTTTAGAATCTCCGGTCCGTGGAGCAGGCCCCCAGCCAGCAGCCCCAGGCGGTGGGTGAGGGTTCTGGGGCTGGGCGGGTGTGCACAGAGGCCTGTCTATGACTGGGTTTGCCATCAGCAAACCAGAGGACACCAAGACTGCTATGGTTTGAATATCTGTCCCCTCCAAAACTCATGTTGAAACTTAATCCTCAATGTGGCAGTACTGAGAGGTGGGGCCTTTAACAGGTGATCGGGTCATGAGGGCTTTGCCCTCCTGTGTGGATTAATGTGTTCGCAGGTTAATGGATTAACGAGTCATCAAGGGAGTGGGACTGGTGGCTTTATGAGAAGAGGAAGAGACCTGAGCTAGTGTGCTCAGCCCCCTTGTCATGCGATTCCCCATGCCACCTCCGGACTCTGCAGAGAGTCCCCACCAGCAAGAAGGCTGTCACCAGATACGGCCCCTCGACGCTGGACTTCTCAGCCTCCAGAACTGTAAGAAATAGATTCCTTTTCCTTATAAATTACGCAGTTTCAGGTATTTTGTTACAAGCAACAGAAAATTGACTAGGACAAAAGCACAACTGGGACCCTTCCAGCCCAATATGCAACCTGATGAAATGCCCTTGCAGAGGTGGACGTCACCGGACATGCACAAGCACCGAACGGTCACCTGGCAGGGCTCGGTGGGGCGATGGCTTCCTGGGGCAGGAGATGGCATGGGGAGGACTCCCTCTCCGCTCTAAGTGCAGTTCAGGGTTGGACACTATATGAACTCTGAGCAGGGTTTTCCTTCCCCAACCTACCCCTGAATCTTCCTCTTCTCAATGACAGATTCTCTGTGAAAAGCCACCTCAGCTTGTGCAATGGGCAAACACCTCAATAAAACCATCTTTGTGTCCCCAGTAAGGCCCTGGCCAAGCAGGAGGTGCGGGGTCTAGGCCAGGCATCTATCATCGTGCTACTAGGCACTGTCGTGCCTCCGTTTCCCGTGTGTCATGTCCTGGCAGCCATGCGGACTAGGTGAGGCTCTGAGGCCCTTGGTCCTTGGCCTCCTGGGAGTGTCCACAGAAGCGGCTGACGGGGGATGGGCACATACCTGTTAGGGTGGGGGAAATGCAGCAGCCTCTCGCAGGCTGTGGGGTGACCCCGGGGTGGCGGGGTTCCCGCAGGGAGAAATAGGCCCTGGCAGCAGGTGGGGCCGGGGCCCTCAGCAAGGTCCAGGTCCAGCAGGCTCTTCTCTGAGCCCGGGGTGCAGTGGCCGTAGCTCCCGTTCACTAGGCAGAGAAAGACAGGGAGAAAGGAGACAAAGTGAGTGGGGGGGCGCCCACAGAGGGGTGTATGGAGAGGGCCGTCACTGGGGTATAGGTGGGACAGAGCACCCGGAGCCTACACTACCTGCACCCCTGCTGCCTTGGAGGCACCGGAGGTCTCATTTAATTCCCCAAATCACCAAGCAAAACAGCATCTGTTACTGCTAGTACCAAACTGTATTACGCCACAGAAACACACAGCACAGTCATGGACACCTGCGTCCTCCACGACTCCCTGACAGCCTACCTACCTTGTGCCCTGCCTTGCCCCGCTAGGTAGGGGGCTTTGTTAACTGAGGCGGTAGATGTGAAAGTGTTGAAAAACCACATAAAGTGTAACAAAAATGTTAGGCATGTTCGTTATCAGCTCCTTCCCCTCTCTGGGCCTCAGTTTTCTCATCTACAGATGAGGAATACTAATCTGGAAACTGTCTTCTTAGGCTTTCTGCTTTGCCACCTCGCACAGTGATGCTACAGACAAAAGGACATGAGCTTGGGGGCTGGACAGACCTCCATGTGAGCCCCTACTCTGCCCCAAACCAACCTGTGACTCAGACAAACTGCGTGTCGGCTGACCTTCAGCTTCCCCTGTGTAGGACGGGGAGCGTCACAGTAGATCTCCAGCGGTGCTGCGGGGTCCTGACAGCAGAGTCGCAGAGCCCCTAGCACCGTGCTGCAACCTGGCGAGTGCACCAGGAACGGAAACTGTTCTTGCTGTTAAACAGCACTTCGAACAGCACCAAGCGCCTTACAGATGCAATACAGCATCACTAGGCCCGATGTTGTCCAAGCGCTGTCAACACGGAGCGAGATAAACCATTAAGATGTGAAAAAAGCTGATCCCAGAACATGGTCAACCCCTTAACACAAGGACAAGGACAATAACAACACAAGCAGCATGTATTGAGCAGTAGGTGCAGGCCCTGGGCTGGTGGTTCACACCACTGTCTCATTTGAGCATACCCACTGCCAGCGGAGGGAGATACGAGTATCATTATCCCCATTTTACAGAGGAGAAAACAGAGGCTCAGGAAGGTGCAACTACTCACCCAGGAACACACAGCTAGGAAGCCTCTGGGGTGGATTTCCCACCCAGGTCTGTTAGACCCAATCCCACATCTTAATCCCTATGCAGTAAGAAGAGGCCTTTGGTGAGCCCAGCCCCGAGGATCCACCTCCCCCAACCCTAATTCTAGCCCACGCCGAGGCAGGGCCTCCAGCACACATTATCCATGTGCCAAGGCCAGCCACTCGGTGCTAACTCGCCAGTGCCCACGGCGCTGGACGGGCACTAGGTATTCGCCTGCAGAGCACTTGAGTTTTCGGATAAGCACGCAAAGCCCGAGAGCTCCCGGGCGGGTGGGGTCTCCAGGCTCCCAGACGCAGGCGAGCTTGCCCAGAGGACTCGTCTGAGCGCTGCCTCCTGCCACCTTCCTGGCCCGTCCTGCTGCGTGGAGCTCCTGTTCCCGCTTGCCTCGGCTGCTGCCCGGCCAGCCCCTCACAAGCTTATTTTTTAATAACTTGGTTGTTTTTTAATTAAAAAGAAATCCCTGGTAACAAATGTGAATGGCCTGAGTTAATGAGAGCAGGCTGCCGCTCGTTTAACTCCGTCTCTGCTTGGCCGTCTTTGCCTTTTCCAAATCGTTTCTGCATGTGATTTTATTGTCCCATTGAGGCAAGCCCTGGGACTGGGCCTCAGAAAACTGTGGATAATTTTATGACCATTAATAGCATTTGGAGCAGGGAGAACTTAATCATCACACGGGGCTGTTTTGCCAGGATCTTTCTCCCAGAGGCTTGGGTGGGGGGTGCAGTGCTGAGCTCCCTTCAATGACCCACCAGGCCCTTTGGGGGCCTCTGGGATCCTTCTCCCCCCATTCCCTTGGGAGGCTGTGTGCAGCGGAGGAAGGTGGGCCCTGGGAACGGTGCTGGGAGCCCAGCACGCCCTCCAAGGGCTATGCCTATGAGGCAGGCTCAGTGCAAGGTTTGTAGAGATTGGTGCCTTAGACCAGGCTCGGCTTCAGAGTACTTAAGAGGCTGGGCCACAATTCAAGCTCAGATCTCCCAGACTTCAAAGCCCATGTCTGGCTGCCTCTTGATCAATGGCTGACTAACCACAGACCCCCAAATACGCATTCCCACCTTGGACTCCAGTGGAGATCATGCTACAGGGCCTCTGGGGAAGTAAAAAGTAAAACCATGACAATGACTCCCAAGCTTTCATCTTTGCGATAGCTCTGGCAGGTGGGTAAGCCCACCCCATCCACACACAAGGACATGAAGGCTCAGAGAGGTCAGGCAGTTTGCCAGTGTCACACAGAGAGGAAGAGGCTGAGCTGAGACAAACCCATCACCTCTGTGAGAAGAAACAGTCTTTACTCAATAAACTATGAACTATTGGGGACTGTTAGCTGCTTCTCCTCTGATACAGTAAAAGGTTTTCCTGCAATAAATAAACAGGCCGGCTTTGGGAGGGAGGAACAAGGAGCCTCTCGGGTCACAGTTTGGCACTGCCTGGTGCTCCAAGCCCATGCAAGCCCTTGTCTCCTGTGACCGTCACAGTGGGTGAAAACACGGACCTCCCAACCTTGCAGAGGGACACTGAGCACCAGAGCTGACAAGTGGCCACCCCAGGTCGTATACAATTGCTGCACAGCCAGGGCCCAAACCGAGGTCTCCCAAAGCCTACACTCTGCCCCAGGCTGCCAGCTTTCCCAGAATCTGGAAGTTAAAGCAGAGGCTATAATGTGTGTCCCAGAGATGCTGGCACCACTGGGAAGACATGGGTACTGTCACCTCTGCCTGCCACAGGCTGAAGTCAGCTAGGAAAGATGTGGGCACTGCCTCCTGCCGGTTGTCTTGCGTCTCTTCCCCAAGGGCATCATGAGATCCAGAAGGGGGAGGGCCACTACTGTTCTCTCTCCATCTCCAGGGAGTGGGGATGGACCCTTCCCTGGAAGAGCAGGGGAGGGAGAGGGGCACATTGCCCTGCTTCCCTGGGCCAGGAGGGGGGATGCCCTGGGAAGGGGCTGCCACCCAGCAGCCATGTTTCACTCTGTGCCACAGGAGCCAGGAGCAGATCTTGGGCCTTGCTTTGTCTATGCACAGGAAGCTCCTTTGGAGGCTGGGAGAGTGATGGGGTTCTGTGTTCATTTTACAAGTTGGTAAGAAATCTTAGAATACCAAGGCTGGGACTGGCTGATCATCTGTTTCATTAATAGGTAGGAAACTAAGGCTCAGAGAGGCAAAGGATCTGCCCTGGTCACACAGCAAAACCATGGCAGAGCCCGGACTGGCACCTCTTAAGCTAGGTAAGAATCAGGTTTGGTTTCCTCACCAAGCCTTAGTTTTCTTATCTATAAAATGGTGCTAACGCCTACCTCACAAGGTCGTGGTGACAAGTGAGATTATGAACACAATGCATTTGGCGTGGTGCCTAGCAAAGCACTTGAAAAGTAATGGTAATGACAGTTACTTCCCTGAGCTTGGGGCAGGGAGACGGGGCCTGTACGGGACGCATTCTATCCCCGGAAAGGTCAGCCTGTATGTCTCTGAGGCCAGACTCAGAAGAACCCCCAAGATGTTGGGTTCACCAAATGCAGGACTGGGTAGCTTGAACAAGGTCATAGCCAGCAAATCTAAAGCAAATAGCTCCAGTTACACACCAGAGAACTTGCAAATTACCATAATGACTTGGCAATAAAGCGGCACCACATATAAAGTGATCCCCACAAGAATTTTAATTCATGCTGAAACCTGCCAAGTCTGCCCGGGAGTGGACAATGATGCATTCAGCATCTAAGGCCCAGATGCCGCCTCCTTGCAGCCCAGGAGTAGGCAGCTGGGTCCAGGAAGGCCCGCATGATGACTGCCTTCTTGTTTACCGCCAAGCAGCTTCTAGCACCTACCAGGTACCAGGCTGGTGATAGGGCACTGCACTTTACAGTTTATAAAAAATTTTCACAGCCATCACCCGTAAGTGTCATTATAACCCTCGGGAGGTGGTTGGGCAGGTTCAGAGGGGGCAAGTGATTTGCCCAAGCTCACACAGCAAGCGTAGGGCTCAGAATTGCCTGACTCAGCCATCTAGTCAGCAAACTTTTTCTGGAAAGGGCAAAATAGTAAATAGTTTAGGCTTTGTGGGCCATACAGTCTCTGCCACAACTACTGAACTTTGCCATTGTACGATAAACAAAATGTAAACACATGAATGGGGCTGTGATCCAATAAAACTTTATTTAGAAAAACAGATCGCTGGCTCTTAGGCTGTTAATCTGCCAACCCCCGATCTCACGCAGCAGTTAGAGAGACAGGGATTCAATATCTGAAACGATCCTACTTTCCTGTGTCTGTAAAATGGGGAGCATTTCACAGGGTGGAATTGATGGTATGAAAATCACTGTCAAATACTGAATGCAGGGCTGGCCCCTGGTGGCCATTCAATAAATGGAAGTGCCTTCGGCCTGGCTCTGGGGGCTCCCATAAGCGAGGCTCACCCTCCACCCCGGCGTTACCCTCACACCCCACGACGCTTTGCTGCTGTGTGGGGCACACCCTCACCATCCAATCAGGAGGCCTGGTTCTTCCAAAGCCCCTGGGCCCTCAGACCCCATGGGAAATACATCTACATCTCCTGGAACATTCCCTGACCTCCCTCCTTCCCTCCTGGTTTCCCGCCCTCCCTGAGCTCCACCTACGGCTCCCAGCAGTCCCTGCAAAGAGCTGCCATCTGGGGTACACCCAGCACAGGCCAAATGCTTTACAAGTTTTATCTCTAAATCTTCACGACATCAGAGTTGGATTATGATACTCTATACTGCCACACTGATGCCTTTAAGTGCAACTGATGTCCTGCATCCCCTGTGAGTCTGAGAAACCCCTCAGGACAAGGATCTTGGAGCCCGCGAGCTGCTGAATGTTAGTGTGTCCCTAGGCACGATTCTGTCCCACCGACTTCACATATC